TTAATGAAAAACCTGCCGATTCAAGTATTTCAACAACGAGTGATTACAAAGGTTAGAGCAAATAAACCACACGGGTCTTTATGTTTTTATAAAAACGTGGCTTTCCAAACTCATCAATTGTAGGAATTACATTGGACTTTCAGTAGTATATACTTTATAGCAAGTAGATGAAAGATAGAAAAAAATCCTGTTTTCTTCTGCAAAGAAAACATTATAAAAGTATTAGATCAAGGTAGTACGGAGATAGAACAATTGGTTTAAGGCTTGCTTTTGTTGAAAGAAAATATTATAAAAGTATTAGATCAAGGTAGTACGGAGATAGAACAATTGGTTTAAGGCTTGCTTTTGTTGCAGGCATATTTTATAAAACACTAGACTGGTCAAGTTTCGTTTGAGCTTGTAGTTGCTCTGAGTTAGAAAACTAATATTTGTATGAATAAGTTAATTAACCAGCAGTGTATCAGTTAGCTAGTAAGAGAAAACTCCGAATCATTATATATGTTTTTTAAAAGGGTGATATCGACATAAAATCATAACTTATAAGAATGTTTACATTTAATGTCTTGTTTTATGTTTTATAGAGACAATAAAAATAACTTGAAACCTTTTCCATATTTTATCATTCTCACACGATTACAAACAATAACCTCTTGAACTGCATTAATGATAAGCTCATAAAGTTCTGTTTAATACTTTCTCTTCTGGTAATTTCGTATCGACAATAAAATTGTCTGGAGTCTGAAGTGTAAAGATCTCTATGGAATTTATTATTGTGAGAAACTCCGAGTTGAATTTAGCTTAATTTTATCCACACTAGAACGGCCAACTAATATAGCCACTAAGAACCAAGGCGGCAATGAGACTTACAGGAACCAGTCTAGACATTTTTTTTTTAGTAATTTTGTCTTCATTAATCTCATATATGCTTATTTGTACACAATATATATATATATATTACTCTGGTGAATTTCTTTTCCTATCATATAGAGATCAACTGGATAATTTAATGTAGCCTTAGAACAAATTTAAATTTTTTATGATTTTCCTCCTATCGTTAATTCATGTTTGAATAGACTAATAAGTATACGAATATTAAAAGTAAATTCTGGAATCTTTATTACTGTATCTATATATATATATTGTAATGTTATAGGACATAAAACTTTGAAATATGCTTCAGAAATACATTTAGGCACGCATAATTTAAACAATAGTTTCAAAATCGTCGGAGAAGAAATGCGCACTGTTTGAATTAGCAAAGTATAAAACACAATTTTATAATATTGTGTTGTATTAATAAATGATACAAAATGTTGCACAAAATGTTTTCTTACCTCATTCGGTTGAATTATAAGTTCTCAAGAACTTTGTCGTTGTTACTGTTTTGAATTTTCGCGTAACTCTTCAAAAGGGGGTCATCGCTATATACCCATAGTCATCCTTACTTTTGAGCTTAAAGACTAGAGGAAAGGCAACTAGTGAACAGTTACCAACTTCTTACCCTATAATGGGATTTGACTGTAACTCTTATAGCGCACTAACAGCTTTAAAAAGCGAATTGTATTTTTTACAGCAACGGGACGCGAGCCATGAATTCTCGCCTGGCTATTCCAGCATCTCTGCTACGATACGTTTAACCAAGTAAAGTTAGTAAGGAAGTTGATTACGGTAAATATATAAAAATTTATTTACTAATTACTTATTTCATACAACAAAATATTAAACATCAGTTAATGTGGCACAAATTGCCAAAAAGAATTATTAAATAAAATCCACCAAGTCGGCCCCCCAGTGGCACAGCGCTATGTCTGCGGACTTACAAGCTACAAACTGGGTTTCGATACTCGCGGTGAACAGAGCATAGATAGTCTTTAGTGTTGCTTTGTGCTTAACTACAAACAAGTCGAAAAAAAAATAACTAACTAACTAATAGTTGTTGTTTCAATGAAACATAAGGCAGAGTAGGCATAGTATGTTTGTGAAATTGAATGGATTACAACTGCCTGTTGAATGAAAAGAGGACGACATTTTGAGTTCTACAACGCGACCTGAAGAAGCTGAAACGCGGTCCCCATTTTCACTCAACAGGTAGTTGCCGACCATTACAGCTCCAAAACAAACTAACAGTTGTTTGCTATGAAATAGTTGATTTTATCAAATTATAGTACAATTTTCTATGCAAAATTTACCAATATTACAGTTGTTTGTTAAGAACCAACTATGTGCTTTAAGTTAAATTATTGCATTATTTTTAATGAAAGGCTCACAACTATCACAGTATAGATAAGGATTATTTGCTAAAAGAATTACAGATACAAAATACAAACCCAGCTTCGGTATGCTTGAAAAGACGGGCTGGGTGAAGCCTAGTGGATAGTGTACCGGAATTTGGGGCTGTGGATGCGTTATAAGACCAATGGTCAAATTCGATTAGAGTAGCTCATGAGTTGGCATGAGTTCTACTGACTTAGATGTCCTTTTTTCTGGACAATCAGTTCAAAATTGTGGACTTCTAGTGCAAAATAGTCCTTGTGTAGCTTTTCATGAAACATTCATCCAACTAGAAATGGCTGTATAAAACTATAAGATAAATGAGATAAGCTAAATAATGGACAACCTTAAAAACCTAAAATATAAAAAATATACAAGGACTGATAAAATGATCTCAGATATAACATCCACCTCTATGCTTGACTGATGTAAAACGTAAAATATTCCGATTGGATAAACACAAGATGGATATGTTTCTGAGAATAATGCCTGTTTTCGCGAGCAGCCCCGCGAAAGAGTAAACTCTAGATCACGTGACGTTTAGTGGATTAAAAACAGATATTCCTGCTAGCATAGATCGAAATCAATACCTTTATACGATAAAGACGAATCGTATGGTATTATTCTATATAAATCTACTAGTTCATGTTAAGAGCCCAAATTATGAACATCTGTGTGTGTGTCACCATGATTACAAACAGTTAGATTAATATTACAATAAGTCATTACTGACCACAAATACACAAAACCTTTTGAAAAATTCTTTAAGAACACAGGCAACTCGATATAAAATGATAAGTGTGAACTTTTGAGAAACAGCTAAATATTCTTTATAATGTTGCACAGTTGACGTATTAGAAAATAAAATATTCATCTACAATGTTAAAAGACTGAAAGCTAGAATAAACCAGAATAAGAATGGACATTTAGTTGGAAATATTTGTATAGATTTTGAAATTTATGCTCATGAACTTGTGCTAATATATTAAACACTTACTCACCCATAATATCAATATTTATATAGGTTTTGAAAGTTATGCTCATGAACTTGTGCTAATCTATTAAACACTTACTCACCCATGATATAAATACAATATTTATTCCATGTATTAGGTAATTTGCGCTAAGGTAGCCAACAAGGAAGTTTATACCAGGGAGGAGCTTTACATATCTTAAGCTGAAGAGACAACTTGCTTTAGATGATGTTCAAATACGTATATACTTCCCTACTCTTTTATGGTTTAAAGTTTTTGAGGTTCTCCAGTATGTTAGGCATACCTGAAACGACAAAGAACCTTAACCACTTCTTCACTATGTATGTTGTACATGATTTTTCAGAAGCTTAGTAGATGACGTTTTGTTGAGAAATTAATTTTATGATTTCAAATAAATTTAAGTGATTATAACTTCGATAATATATTATACAATATGCTAATCTGATTGGTTTTATGATTCAGTCTTAATTGCTTAAATACATAATTAAAAAATAAAAAGCTTAACCAACTGTAGAGCTTTTTCCAACCTCATTATTAGTACTATGAATATATCGGATAAACGATTCACAAGCTACTTAGACAACTTTTGATTGTTTTGGCTTAGTGCTCATATCCACTGTAGGCCTGGCATGACCTGGTGGTTAGGACGCTTGACTTGCAATCTGAGGGTCGCAAGTTCGAATCCTCGTCACACCGAATATGCTCGCTCTTTCAACCGTGGAGGGGTTATAATGTGATGATCAGTCCCTCTATTCGTTGGTAAAAAAAGTAGCCCAAGAGTTCGTGGTGGGTGTTGTTGACTAGATGCATTCCTTCTAATCTATCACTGCTAAATTAGGGACGGCTAAGGCAGGTAGCCCTTTGCGCGAAATTCAAAACAAACCAAATCTTATCCACTGCAGCTGTTTAAAGCACAATTCAGACGTTTAAGCCAAAAGTTTAATAACTGTAAAACATCCTTATGATCTGTCCCTGAACTCTAGACTTCATAAAGGATCTTTTTGGAAGTACCTTATACGTTTTATTTAATTACTAAACCTTTTAGTGCATGTTTGAAATTATAGTTAAGATTAGATACCAATAAATTTTGATTGCAAGAATTGTAGATCTATAGCCTTGGCAATAAATTGTGGGTGCTTAGATGAAATGAGCCATGTTTTCCGACTCAGTACCCAACTAAGAAACCTTTATTTTTTCCGACTCATTACCCCCTTTCCTCCTCATGTGTTTGCTTAGACAAAAACGTAAAAAAATAAACTTTACCTCATCTATTATATTGGGTTCGGTTCGTACAATTTTGAACCTGGAATTCAAAACTGTTCAAGTTTAGTGATTTCTAAAATAAAAACTCAAACTTATAGCGATAAGCTGCTCTTAGGAAATTCTTTGTGTTAGTCTAAACAAAAAGGGCAACTCCGGAAACATAATATACAATGCTCATCGATTAGAGTTTCTCAAGTTGAGTATACCAGTTCACAATCATAGGAGTCGTGCCGACAAGCACTGACCAATCATGTGGAGGTTGGCTGTCTTGCAGGAGGTAGTTTCTTTACTGATGTTACCAGTGGCCTTCTGGTTGTTTAATGTACAAACAGGTTTTTGAAAAGATCAATTATAGCTAGAATTTCATTGGAATTTTACTTCAAAGGAAATGGCCATAGGAAACAGCTTTGGTGCTAGAAATCGAAAACTATTTATGAGATTTAATATCAACTAAACGCATTAAGTACATACTTGAAAGGAAACAAAACTGAATTATGTTGATTTCAAAGTTTCAGATCTGCATCTTTTTTGTTTTTTTCCATAGTCATTGGAAAAGCCCTGGCGTTGGTGGCAAACTTCATATCTAAGAATCATTCAGTCAAAATCAAGTGTAAGAAAAAAATGCTTAAAACGTTAAAATGATTAAGTGCTGATGAACATGAATGCATTATTAAGCAAAATGTTATGAGCAAATAATTCCAAGATATAAGAATAGTTCATCCTGTACTAAGGTATAGCTTATATACAAATAGGTTTGTAATGTTAACTGTTAAATACTTTACAAATGTGAAAAATAGCCACATCTTACAATCTTCATGATGCCTAAACCATTTCATAATGTGACGGTAAATTCCACTATTCGTTGGTAAATTGTAGTAATTGTTGTATACTAGCTGCCTTCCCTCTAGTCTATCACTGATACTCTTCGAGTGGCATTATGCGAAATTCAACAAACAAATAATTCTAATTTAATGTTTAAAGTATAGTAATTGCACATTCTCTCGGGATAAGGCTGTATACTTGAATAGATGTTCATGTCTGAACCCTAGTAATTAAACTTACTCTTGAATTAAGACTTTTTTTTCAGCAGTTCCCTGCAGTTCACCGTAATTAGCTCAAGCCATGAACAATATCACTACTTTCGGAATTCCTAACAGTTCGTTGCCGTCTGGATTGTAAAGGCAACCTTTTCTTACAAAAGACAAAATCATGAGCAATAGACTTGGCTCATCATAAAAAGTTAAGGTAACAGTTTTATTGAAACTTCGCTACTTTCATAACAATAAAAGTTATCGAACTTTAAATTCATAATAAGACAAAATATTTCGAAATACATAAAACAACCTTCATGATGGGTACTTAATGTTGTGATCTTATTCAAGTTTCAATTCTTTCATAACCATAAGAATCATCAAACTTTAAATCTATAATGAAACAAAAACATTTCGCAATACATAGAGCAACCTTATGATGGGTATTTAATGTTGTGATCTTATTTAAGTTTCCATTCTTTCATAACCATAAGAGTCATCAAACTTTAAATCTATAATGAAACAAAACATTTCGCAATACATAGAGCAACCTTATGATGGGTATTTAATGTTGTGATCTTATTTAAGTTTCCATTCTTTTATAACCATAAAAATAATCAAACTTTAAATCTATAATGTAACAAAAACATTTCGCAATACATAGAACAACCTTATGAATGGTAATTACTGTTGTGATCTTATTTAAGTTTCCATTCTTTCATAACCATAAGAGTCATCAAACTTTAAATCTATAATGAAACAAAAACATTTCGCAATGCATAGAACAACCTTATGAAGGGTAATTACTGTTGTGATCTTATTTAATTTTCAATACTTTCATAGCCATAAACATTATCGAACTTTAAACTGATAGTCAAACAGATATGTTTAAAAGCTTTGGCATAAAAGTATTCAGAAATATTTTTATTTTCTAATAAAATAATAATTTATCACAATCAAAAGCTCATCTGGTGATCCCGAAAAACCTACTTTTCTTTTTTTGTTCAAAAATATTTTTTTGTCTATTACTATCACATTATCGTTTAAGACATAAGAATGTTCTTGAAACCGGAAACAAGAATACTGTTATAGTTATTATATGTTCATTATCTGTACATTAACTTTTTGGTTTGGTGACGACGGTTTAAGTTGGTTGTAGAGTAACATATATTTTGTCTATAAACTAGGACTCAAGAGTAACAACAGAACAAAACAAATCACAACCATGATGAAAATAAAAGTAGTTACACCATTCTTACTGATCCACATTATACAGCTAAGGTCCGATGCTTCTTTCTAGTCTGCTGCAGATACAACTAATAGTCACAAAATGTTTTCTCTTAGTGCATATGTGTGTGTGTGATGGAGAAAACCTCGAGTTTAGCTCAGTAAGTTTTGAAAGAGAACAAACGAATCGTGCGTATACGTATCGCAGTATTTAAAATATTACATTAATACCACGTAGAGTGACAACATCGTGAAGTTATTAATATTATTCAACATATCCACAGTTAGTAATTAAGAAAAACACAAATGTAATTACATGAAGCATTTATTAGACGTTTCGGAATCTACAGAATTCCATCTACAATAAGCCAGATATACAAAAATACGTAACAATGTCCCTTGGGTCAGTATCTTTGACCCTTGATTATATTGCCGCTAAAATTAGTCTGTTGTTGGTTGGATATGGAGTAACTTTATTCTGTCTCTTAAATTATATCATTCAGTTTTATGGAAATTTTGTAGTGATGGGTTTTAACTCTAATCTGTCTCCTAAAAGCTTTATAATTCGGTTTACTGTAGTGTTTGTAGAGCTGCTCTTCAAATGGCCGTGATGTTCTGCAAAAGCTCTGAAATAAGGTTATACTTAGATGAAATTTATTTAATCAATTATAAATGACTAAATAAATAAAACAATTCTACATAAAGATGGAACAGTTACATTTTATACTTTGAAGGTTTGTAGCTAAGCCTGGAACTCAAATATTTTAAAGATCACATTTTAATCGAAAGGTAAAGTTAGAAATAAAAATAAAAGCTTGTTTTTCCAATTTGATACCGAAATTGACCAAGCAGATTTTAGTTAGATATTAGCTTTTTTTCTAGATACAATTAAATAAACCGTTTCATCTTTGACAGATATACTTACCATGTGTTGTCCCTAAGCTCTTTATCTCTAACATAATATCTTCAAATAGGTGAAACGAAAAAAAAAAACAACGGAAACAACGGTAATGTTTATATCTAATACGATTACACGTTTTTATACACAGTGTGCGCCTAAAAATAATTTACCAAGTCAAAGTAGATACGTCCAGTCACGTCTAGCCTTTCAAGTCGTATTTATAACGCTTATAAAAAAATAGCAACGTTAATTTAAAGCCCCATGTTTTTGTTTTGTTTTTAAAATAAAAGATACTCATATTTAACATTAATGCAAATATACAGAGTTTCAAATAAACATACCATAAAGAAAAGTGGTAGACAGCACTAACGGACGCACACTTTCGATAAACTACTTCCTTCAACCTAGCGGAATATTATATATGTTTTTTCTTTTACGAGGTAATGATTTCAAATGTTAATCTAGATGACAATGTTTGTTAACAGATACAACGAGCAAGTTTTAACCCAGAGAATAAAACCAAAACAAAAGAGAGACATCAAGCCCTTTACAACTTCTTTCTCAGCAAATATTGAAAAAGAGAACATCTATAAATCTTTCTAGCCGTAATGTACTTTTAAGAGCACTGAGAGATTAACTGTCTTTTGAACCCACCAATACAGCGATATGTGTAACGGTGTTTCTAAAAAACATTAAAATACAATAAGAAAGTTTAAATATTGTTTATTATTTGACATATTTATGGATGTATTATTATACATAATTAGTTCTTATATTTGAAACTGTAACTTCTTATATTTTCACAAGCGTTTTTGTACATGTAACTGTCTTCTTTACACTGTACCACCAGTACTTTGTACAATATCACACCATGATATTTAGATGCCTGAATGCTCTGTATTTGTTTATTTTCTAATGTGAAACGTACTAAGGTACTTTAATGGTTATTGGTTGTTTTATCTTTAAATTATGTATGCCCACATCCATTCCTATTCAGAACATTTTAGAAATAATTTGTATTTTGTATATTAGTGTTTTTACTGTATGAGCAAGACCTTTTTTGCGGAAATATAATCAGTTATATATATATATATTACACTTTTTTTATTTTTAGGTATTTTATCAGAGCTTGTCCTAGTACTATAAATACGTCAGTTGAAATTGCTTAGTTACAACAGCGAAACGTTGTTCATTCTTTGTGTTCTTTGTATATTTGTCTGAGGCTGCTGTTGGAAAAATAAAGAAGACGTAATAAAATTATTATATACATTTTGGAAAGTTTCAATAGTATAGAAAATGCGTATAAAAATAAATGGAGAATAAACATTTTATTTTGCATTTGATGCAAAAGCTGCCGACTTAATATTTTATGGTAAAAAATTGTTTTCATATCACAAAATAAACAGTTGGGCCACTCCTTCCAGTAGAATAATTTGTTACTTTGAATACTTGTAAAGTCATACATTTTAATTACTTGTTTTTTTCTTCTAAGAAACGAAACATGTATGGTGCGAAATGAATGAAATATTCTTCTTCTAATCAACAGTTTCCTTCGTCTTGATTTCTTTAATTTGTAGCTTGCTTATATTACATGTTATCCTGATTACTGAACACTGCCGAGAACTGGCTCTTTTGTTCTTTGCGGTTCTTTATCATTTATCTTTCGTGTTTCATTTCCACTGTAGAGATATTTGAGTTGCACTTTTTGGAGTAAAATTAAATGCAATTCAATTAAAGTAAAAACTCCTTTTCCCTAACCACTAGTGATGGAATTAAATTTTTTCATGAACAGTCCCGAGCAATAAAAGAAAAAGAAGAAGAAGAAGAAACAGAAAAGAGAATGAAGGATTTTGCCAAAAGAAAATTTCAACAAGCTTCGTTTAGAGTGAAAGTCTCGAATGACTACTCTTTTTCAGCTAAACACCGTCTCATCACACATTCTTTAGTCATGACTAAGAAGTATGATTTAATTTGACTCTCCTTCGCTGATTGCTTCTCCAAAGCTTCAATCTAATCCAATATTTCTTTTGAACGAAATACAAGTTGAGTCCTTGTAATCGATTTGGTTTTGAAGAGTTGAACTTTTACTTCGGTAAGAAAAGAAACAGCAAACGAATAAACGCAGTATGTACACGCAATTGTTTACAACCTATGCAAGGGTAGAATTACTTGTACTCCATACCTTTTGTTTGGTTTAGAGGTTGTTTCATGTCCTACTTGTTCTTTATAGACCACTTATACTCTCACCCTCAAAAACATCTTGTTATTTCTTTAATAATTTTTTTAATTTTTTTTATTTAAAAAACACTGCAGCAAAGACGTTCTGAGCTTCATAATAAGATATATCTCGGGTATAATCGTTGTTAGTTTACGAATGCAACAAAAACGTTTGGGTTTGAATACAGAAGATGCCTCAACTATGAT